AAAAAAAAAAAAAAAAAAAAAAAAAAAAAAAAACTACAAGCTAACAAACAACTCACGTGCGATGTTTTAATATTATTACAGCCAGTGTGCCTTTTTTTTTTTACAACACAAATAGTTAAATAAATAAACGAAATGATAAAGTGTAACTTACCACCAGTGGAGGTGATGCCAGCAAACATGAGCCCGAGCAGAAGAAGCGCAGCGCTGAAGCCGCAGCGGACAAAGGGGCCCGGAGGTAAGGGCATCTTTAAGCTGTTTTAATCACTTAAGTTTCAATGAAAAAGAGAGCAGCGGAGAAACAAAGACGGAAAAATCTTTTTCAAGACCGTAGAGTGTCCTCTGATGCACTTTTAGGGCTTTCTTCGTTAATAAGTGTCTTTTTTTGCCTCAGTATGTATCCTCGTGCCGCGCCGTGGCCATCAGCATCCAGCTCGTGCGTCTCCGTTGCTCAGAACAACGCATCACAGGTGTGGTGGAGGAAACTGCTGCCTTGTGCTCGCCCCGGTTCTTACTGTAGCTTCTACTGTATCTCTCCAAAGCCGTTCACAACTCTCTCTGTGTCGCCGAGCCGAAGAGGAGGAGAAGGAGGAGGAGAACGGCTGCAGTTTCTGCTTGTTCCCGTCACTTTGCAGCCTTCGCCTGCAAGGATACCTTCTCCAAATGCGAAAATCGTAAGAATTGGCATCGGAGGACAGAACATCTGCTTGCACAGCAATGCTGGAGTGCTGAGAGTCAGGGAAGGTATACACACAGACACACACGCTGCGTTGAAGGCAAGAGGAGCAAAACCAGGAGCGGATTGCGTTTGGGGGAATGGATCGCGCCTGCTGTCCAGCGTCTTACCAAAACATTTGCATATCATCAATAAGCATAACTACAAACCACGTACTGGCTGTGCAAGAAAGAATGGAAATTAATGCACCCGTACTCTTGCGAGTGTGCTTTTCATATCCTTTGCCTTACATGAAAATGATGGATATGTCATTCAGCCCTGCATGATAGGAATCACATCGATGCTTTGCATACAAATTCAGCACAGATCGCATCTGCATGTCATTGAGTTTCAGTTAAATACGCCTTTGGTTTGTCTGGAGGCACATGAGTGACGGACAAACACAGATGAAGAAACCTGAGGATTAGCGCTCCCATGAGAAGCCATTCACCTGTCAGCAAACTCTGCAAACCTGAATGTGACTCCAGAAAGCCTTTCTAGCATTTTTATTATTATTATTATTATTGAAAGGTGTCAGAGGAATGATTGTTGGACTGCTCAGCCATTTCCTTTGACTACATTACCCAGAAATCAAGAAGATTTTAGGATAGTAGTTTTCTTTCCAGATCATAATTTGACACAAACATGGGTGTACAAAAAATGATGCTTTTCAAAGAAAATTTCACTAAATACAAAGATTAGAGCTAGTTCTGTTTTATGCGTGTTTCCTTTGATGACATCAAAAATGGTACACTAGAAGCATTTAAAAACTTATTTAAAAAAAACAAGAAATGTAAGAGTACATTATTAGTCAGTAGTACAAAATCAGAGATGGCCTCAGAGGGATTTTTTTTTAATGTCATTACCTGATGACATGTAAATGAACTATAAGCTATAAACCATTAGATATCACACACAAAGCTAGGAATGTATCACTTTCCATTGATTCATTGACTTGGTTCATTATATATTTTTAACTCTTCTTCAAGACAAATGTGTTCTGCATATGAGTCATATGTTCTGTCACTCTAGTCAATGGATCTAAAGGGAAATGCCCTGGCTGATGCTCCAATGGACATGATGTGCAAACCATGCCTACCCAATGGACTGATATAATATCTGGGGGACAAATGATGCCCACCCAATTATTGAACAAATCAGCTAGCATTAAATATTAAACATTGTGGCAGATGAGGACTTTTGGTTTCATCTTTCAGAATTTTTTATATAAATTCTGAGCTATGTTTAAGTGTATTTGAGACTGAGTTTGACTCTGATGACCCCAAAAGCATAACAGACACTGATGTGTATAAGGCGAAGCTGAAGTAAACTGTGATTACGACGATCATATTCAGACCTTTCGGTAAATTTGTTTAAATTCCTGTTTAGATTTTCTCCTGCACTGCTTCCCTTTGAAATGTCAAATTTTTAAATAATTTAATTCAGAGGAAAACACTTTGAACTGCCTTATTGCTGAATGTGTTTATGCAAATAATCTTGATTTTACTTGACTTAGGATCTGTTTTATGTTTTCATCATATTTAACATGTGATAGTACAGTGGTGCTGCTTGTTTCAACTCTTACTACTTGAGTTTACCCACACAGCATCACTCTTTCTGACTAATTATCAATCAAATATTTTTCTTTGCTTCTTCTCTATGTTTGCCATAGTTGTTCAGAATTCAAGTAAACCCCACCGATGGAGAAATTTTATTAGAAACCAGGGACAGGCAGTATGGGCTTAAAATTGTATTCCAATATTTGGTAATTACTGTGAAAATAAAAAATAACATTTTTCTGTGAAACAATGCAGCATAATTATAAGCGCACCTTCTCTTTATTGTGCCAGCGAGGATCTAGTTTGAATAACTATAATATTTGCTTAGGGTAATTATGAATAAACCTAGTAATTTAGATCAAAATTACCAAGTCGAGGCACCACCTGATTATCAGGAATATAGTAGTCGTATAATAGCCAAATTGTTCAGTCTCAGTTATTGCTTATAATAAACAATAACATTGACAAAGTCGATATGTATTCCAGATAGCCATTTCAAACTGCAAAAGACAGAATATCATTTTGATAGAGTAATTGCTTTGATGTCTTTTTGTCTGAATTAGAAATCAGAAACCTTTGGAGAATTTATTCTTAATCTATCCATTGCTGCACTGATGGATCATTTAAGGATTAAAAATAACTAATTAAGGGACAGAGAGCACTTGTTGCCACTCATAAAATGGCATCTTAAACAGACCAAAATAATCAAATCTTTTGCTGTTGAAGCAATTTATTGCAAGTCCAAAGCACAGTGAAAAACAATATTATTGTTTATGAGCATCAGCATTCGCTATGGCTAGTGGTAAAAACATCTCCTTCTCACCTGAGCAGTTGTTCATGAGGAACCACCTGATTGTGGCCAGCACAGGTCAGCTTGGAAAAATAGGACACGTCTTAGTTCTTGTTTGCCCAACATCAGCATCATTTGGCTAGCAGGTGGCCAAACTCAGTGAAACTTCTCAGCTCTGGAGAGGAGCTGGATAGGCTGCTTCTTCTTCTCTCTTGTGAAAGTGGCAGCCTGTGTCGGTTTCCAGCACCAATCTTGGGAACTTGTAATTCAAAGGGTTCCTTTTTGCAGAATTCTGAATAAACCAGGATCAAGGTTTATTATTTTGGCCAAATTAGGTACTGGCTCCACTAATAGCAACCTGTGTATTTGGATCCTTAGCTCTCAGGACAGTGAGTGGCCTTTCTCTCTGCTAGTGCGATAAGGCGTGGTGGTGTGTGTGAGGGGTTAGCGTGCTTTTCCCCATTTTCACCCATTGCCCTACTGAGCAATGGGTGAAAAGAGAGTCTTTGTCTTAGTTGTGAGGTTTTGAAGGTCCTTATGACATCAGAGTTTTTCCTCCCTGAAACTCTTCCTCTTCCTGGAACCAGAGTGGATAAAATGTAGTGCATTGTTGAATCAAATAGTGATACCTGCCTCCAGTGTATTCAACCCTTCATGATTGGAGGCACAACAAACTGTAACAAACAAAACTACAATTGGCAAACAATGATTGTATCATACTATTAAACATATATATTTTTTATGTTCTCATGAAGAAAAAACAGGTCAGATATCAACAATACCAATCCCAACTATGTTATGTTCTTGTTGGTTATCAAACCTCATCAGGTAGATTATAGTCATTTCTATAGATTTAATTACTTATCATAAAAGATTATTTTCCACCAATAATGATAAATGATCTGACTGTCCCTAATAAAAACAGTGAATAAAAAGGACAAAAACACAACAAAAAAAACAAGATGAGCTCTGAAGGACTCTAATTAGCTGCATTTTGCTTGATGTGATGTCACCCGAGGTATGTACAAGTGGAAAACTGTGTCTGGGAGCGTAGATCATATGTTTAATAGTTTGAAATAAAATAGCCGCACTAACCAAGACAAGTTGTTCCGCTCGACAGGTGACAAACCATATCTAATGAGTGTTTGACAGAAATGTCTGGCCAGTCGCTTTAAAGGAGGGGTGTAGGTGTCTTTGTTTATCCATTCCTCCACTCCCACATATAGTCAGCAGAATAATAAGTGGAAGCGCATAGCTGGACCAATGACTTACCAGCTAATTATGGGACTCATGTAGATGGATGATTCCTTAGATAGAGCTCAGCTATTACAGCCTGCAAACTCATTAAGCCCTTCTCTCTGCCCAGCATCCCCAGCTAAAGGTCAAAGTCAGAGTGAGAATGACACCAGCAAGCACGGACACATGCAGAAATGCACAGCCACAATCAAACCCTCACAGGCACACTGAATGTGAGGGAGTATGGAGGCAGTTGCGAGGCGGCCAAATGGAGGAGAGTGACTCAGCCTTGGTCACTTGTGAGGTTGCTCGTAATGATCTCTCTCATTCTACTAATCTGCTCCGAGTCCTATCAGGCTGTGCAAGCTGGAGCGTGTCTCTTGCAGTCACTGCGTGTTCCTTTTCTTTATTTATTTTTCCTCTGAAAAAGCATTTAAACTACATGCATTTCAAATGAGGATCAGAGAATATGTATATATACATACATAGTCATTTATACAATCCTCTTTCAGGTCAGAAATAGTGCTTCAGTCGCTTTAAGGAATTATCAGAATGTGTTTTCTGTCTGTGGCGTGTGTTTGCTGAGTGAAAGCAGGGCCATAACCTCCTCCACACTCTTCTGGGTCTTCGTCTGCTTCCTCAATCAGGCTGCAGTGAACAATCACAGCTCTTTTGGGAGTTGACACAAGCAGTTGTTCATCGATCTGTGGTGTTGTAATTAATTTTCTTCCCGTCATCGGCTTGAGTTACAATATCCTAAGACGCACTGCAATCAATCACAGAACCAAGACAGACCCATCATTTCTATTGTGGCGTCCAGAATGAGCCGCAGCAGCTATGATCCAAAGAGACGTGCTCAATGACCTGACAAGTGTTAAGAAAGCACACAGCATCATTTGTGTGTTTTGTGTTCGGCACTCGTCCTTAAACCAGCGCAATTACACTCCCGCCCTATAAAGATAACTGATTCTCTTGGTCAATATGTATCGATTTGAAGGAGGTGTCCAGCATGAAATTAATATTATTTATTGTATACAAACAAAACACTGGAGGTCCCTTGAGGGAGGGCAAGGCAGCCCCGGCCTCGACTGTCTGCTTTCTAGCAAAGGCTCGTTGAGCCGGGTGTATCAGCTTCCATCATGACCACAGCTTCACGGCCTATTGTTTTGTTTATATCAAATTAAACTGCAATGCTACTCTGGAGAGATATAATTGACCACAGTCTTAGATTAAATGACTGTAAAGATCTTAATAAGCCATCAGCGGATTGCATATTACATTGCAGAGCACTTATGAGGATGCAGTCCAGTGAGGATGAAACTGAGGTTCAGATTTGCACACCGCAGCACTTTTTGCCATTAATAACATGCAAAATAACTGTATGATGATCAATAGTGAATCAGTTTAATTACATATTATTGATCTGGGGTTAGAAAAATTAATTACAAGCCAAACAGGTCCCAAAGATGGTAAAAGAATATGTATTACTTTAATATCACAACATCTCCAGTGGCTCTTTAAGACATACAGCAGATAATGGATTCACAAGTCCTCCACAATTAAAGTACATTTTATCCATGAGTACAATAACGGCTATCGCCATAGTAACTCTTACTGCCCTACTAAGGATGTGAGGATCTGGATATGTGCATACTGCTTTGTTCAATTAAATAATTCCACACAAGTGCACATAAAATAGTCACAGAGAGATCTCAGCACATCCTTAAGTGAGCAGGAGAACCAGACAAGAGTTTAAAAAACAGAGAGGAAGAGCTGTAAAAGAGAGGGATGGAGGATGAAGGAGCCTACTGAAGGTCTCTCATTTCAGCAGCACAGACTGCTGATGAAGCCGAACTTTCAATATCCCACCACTTCAGCTCTGATGGTTTCTCAATTTTACAGATATGGCCCCAGAATATGATTTGATGAAAATGTAAAATGGGATAAGCAGCAAGTCACATGAAATGGGCAGCATTTTAATCCATGACTATAAATCAAAAGCAGACACTCTTAAAATTAAAGTTGATTTTTGAGAAATTAAAGGTCTCCTTTCTTCTGTACCCACTTTTTTGTGCAGATTCTTTCTGCGTTGAAAAGATTTGGTTGTAGAAATCAATATAGAGCTTATTAAAGTGAGAACTTTATAGATTTATACAATTTATGTATCCTTTCTAAACTGATCTAAAGTAATTAATTGTTTTTCACATTTTTTTCTAAGTTTTTCTTGTCTTAAATTTAAATTCTTTCACTGCTTCGCTATTAAATATTTCAGTACATTTTAACATGTTTCCTATTACTTTTGCTCACTGCTTCACTTTCACTTTTACAGTCCAAAGAGCCAATCCTGTCCTCGGACCAGTTTAGCAAAACAAATGTTTTGTGACTTTAAAAAAAAAAAAAAAAATTATATAAATTATATATATATATATATATATATATATATATATATATATATATATATATATATATATATATATATATATATATATATACTGATATAATAGCAAGTGGAAACTTCAACAATAGTCACTGTGGAAGGTTTACAGAGTTAATTGCAGCTATGGAGTCACATGTTGCCTATCCCTGACATAGAAGAAAGAAATTGACAAAT